TTATTACATATAAATAAACATAGTAAGAAGGTATATATTTTTTATTTTTTAAGGTCTCCAGAACGAATTAATTAAATTTCCATTAAAACCTACGGTAAATTGATAATCGGTTAACGAACAATTCAGATAGCGAACAAAATCTTGGAACGGATTATGTTCGTTAACCGATCACCCACTGTATATATATATATTATATACTACATAATGCAAACAGATTATTTTGTATTATAATACGTTATGTTGTAAATTAAACACTATAATACAAAATGAAATAATTTCGTTCATTAAAAAATTTAGTAACAAGCAAAATTTGTGTATTTATTATGTAATTCTTTTTCTGCTGCAATCTTTAAGATTATTTTTATAGAAATCATGTAATTAGTGTATTTCAATGTTTTGCAAGCAGTCTTGTTTATCAACTAATCTATTTCCTGTTGTTTAAAGTTGGAAGGAGAATATAAACCAAGCAGTTTTCTTCATATTGTCCGATTTGGCATTACCAAGTCACAATATCAGTTTATTGCTAACCTTACACCGGTACACTGCTTGCAACAAAGTGATATATTTATGTATGTCATTGATCTAGCTTATTATATAAAGACTTTTTTTAATCCAACCTGGGATTGAATCCAGTTGGGTTGAAAACCCCAGGAATTTTTGGGGGTAATCTGTCCCACAAAAATTGTCTACATAAACCATTTTCAGTGTTTCTTTAAATCAAAGCTTTGAACTTTCATTTTACTTGCCTGCTTCAAGTTTTTATAATTGCATATTTTAAATCCGTTCCATCTTACCCACTCGATCATCTGACCATCAATAGTTTTAATTTAAAGGAGTATTACTACAGTTGTGAAATTTAATGAAATAAATTTTTTATCACTTAATTTCTTAAATATAACATGACAAAATGACTTTTTAAAATCAATCTTCTGGTTTCATTCACAGTGATAATTGGATTTTTCCCAATAATTTTTTTTAATAATAATTTATTGTTAAGTTACACTTCATTGTAGTTAAGCAATAGTATATACTTATACAGAATATTTTTTAAATATATAAAATCTCTGATTTATGTAGCCCTTTAACAAATTCTTATTTATTTTTGTAATACATAATATCATTAAAGTTTGAGTTACACAAATTGCTTGCATGTGTATTGATTAAAAACACATTAGCTGTCTGTGTGTTTCTGTAATGAAAATAAGAATGTTAATTAAACATTAACAGATTAAGATAAAAATCCATTTAATTTCTTAACTTAAAAGCATTGGTGGTGCCCAAACTTTTTGATTGGTGGGCCAAATTGCACATAAGTGGTAGGAGACCGCAAATGTCCTGTATATTCCATATGTCATGTATACAAAAAAACGTGTTCTAATTCTATCATTTATTGATAATGTGGCGAATATGTTTGTGGGCAGGATTTGGCCTGAGGCCGTAGTTTGGGCACCATTGGTTTAAACTGTTAAGAAAGTTAATCATAACAGTTTTTGAACTTATGATAAGTATTCTTCACGTTTTAACATTGAAACATTGAGTGATAAAGCTGAAATATTTTCTTGCTCAAGGTTTCATTTAATATCTAAAATACTTAAAATCGTAAGGACAGTTTTTCCTGTCATGGGGGAAAAACAGAAATGGCAGCACTGTGAATTGATGAATTGTCACACAATTTTTATATTGGGAACAAGGAGATGGGGACCAGGGGCTGTCAAAAGTTAGTTTACGTTAGATTAGGGTAGGGTCCTGCCACCAGGTGTGTTTTGTCGGACACACCGCCGATTCAGTCAAAACCTGATAGTTAAGGCGCGAGGGTAAGAGTCACTCTGAAGTCCGGGAATGAGTCTCTCAGGAGGATGAATGCAAAGTCAAATACAAATAACAAGAGTTCATTATCAAAAATTAAGTTCTGGATAACATTCTTAAAATCCGATTCAAGAAATTGCCTATTTCTATCTATAAAATGAGGGGGCTTCCTAATGGGGGTATCCAAACTACAACATACTAGGAAAAAGAGAGCTGTCTCCTGATCTAGTTCTTTCTTCCCTTTGTTTTGGTCCTTCACTGATGTCTGCAGGTAAATGGCGTTTGCTTCTAGTCGAAATTTCCTTGCAATTATGGCGGGATGGGTCCACTTATGTCTACTGTTGGTGTCCGCCGTTGATACCTTCCTTATATGGGATGGTTCTTTGAGAGTCTGGAGAGGCTGGTACTCTCTACCGTTGTCTACCAAGGAGCTCTGTCTATGCTTGGATTTCTGCCTCTTTTATACTCTTTTCAGTGCAGGAGAGTTATGATATGGCTTACTATCGTATTAGTTTGACTTTTGAACTGAGTCATTACAGAAGCAAAACTGTCATCACTTACAAATCCCATCATTATTCATCGATTGTTTTGGTTACTGTTGTGCCTTGAAACGATGTTCGATCTCTGCTATGATCAGCGGGGGGCATGAAGTGGTGTTTTTCCCACTTTCTTTAAGTTTTATTCTTTTACAAATTTATTTAATTATTTAATTGTCCTCTCATTCTTTTCCTCGCATGTTGTGAGATTTATTGCTGTTAATTTATAAACTTCTTATTCTAAATTGTTTCTTTAAATCATTCTAAAAGTTGATATTATTGGAAATTTCTGTAGGGAAGTCCCTAGAATCGGAAAATAGGCAAATTTCCTGTTACACTTTGATCCACATATAAACAATCTCGATATCTTCAAGATGTGGGTTCAAAAGAAAAAGAATATAAAATAAACACAAAGTTTAAAATACAATAAAATGTCTAACTAATTAATTAAAGTGACAACAAAGTGGCTAAACTAAGATTATTACAGATAACGTAAATACGTAAATAACAAATTCACAAATACATACACACATATATATATATATATATATACAAATATTATTGATATATATATATCAATAATTTTTAGTGGGGGGAAATGGTGGTCTTCACAATTGCAATAAAAGTTAGAATGGATTAAAGTGGTTAGACTTTATTGTTTTTTCTTTTAAAACTGTTTGAGAATTTCTCTGTATTTTGTGTGCACTTTGAATTAAAAATTTATATGCTAGTTTATAATGTTAGAAGTGCAAATTAAAAATTTCAATTTAAATGAAAGAAAATAGATTATGAATTCAATTATGAAGATAAATTCTCCTGAAAGTAGGAAGAAATATGTTAACAAGTTTTGTGATTTCAAACAGGCCGTAAAATAAATATATAAAAATGTTTAATCAAGTGGAAATAATGTTTTTTACTAGTTAAAATGTTCACAAATATTCGTAAAGTGTACAAAATAATTGTGCGATAAGCTAAAAGTGTTGTTCTAAACTTTAATCATTGTTTAAGGATTTAAAATAAATGTAACTAATCATTTATCTATTGTCTATTATTTTGCTGTTAATTATAATAGAATCTCAATTAGCTGATCTTCATTGATTTGACACATTTTTCTAATTTAAAATAAGGAATTAGTAATTAGGGGGAAAAAAAGAGGATATTGTCATTATAAATTTATTGTAAATTCTTCTAGATTGTCAAAAAAATTTTGAATGAACTTCATTAATCAGTGACTATTTAAATATACAGGGTCTTCCAAAAACAATGGCACCATTTTAGATTATTGTAATTATTATCTGAGAATATTTTAATGTACATTAGAACATTGGAAAACTGTTCCAATTTCGCATTTTCTCATTAGTTTCTCAATGTGTACACCTCGTGACATGGCACACATTAAACTAAAATTTTTCTTATACTTGTTATGGCATATCTCTTGTCACTCCTCCCACAACAGCCACAGTTATGACTTCTGCTGATTATGTACAGTATGTTGCACAATGACAAGTGATTCAGACTTTATGAATTGCAGAACACAGAATGTCTTTCCTATTGCGGACTCGCATTTTTATTTATGGCACTTCTAGATTTCATTGTATGGAATGAGAAGTCAATGCAATATAAAGTAATATGGTGTTTTTGCTATTATTTCTTGGTATTTTTATTAAATTTTATTCCATGTGAATATGCATTTTCCAAATTATTGTGATTCTCTTATTAGTTATAACTTTCTATGATGTATATAATGTTAACAATGGGTACATTCCTATATATATCAGTCTCAGCCATAATGGATGCACTGGTGAATGATTTATAAAATTTTACTAGAATGTCTGGCAACCTAACTAGATGGCAGAAACAGTGCTACATTGGAATTTGCAGACTTATTTTGTTAAAATAACTGTGGTAGCAGCCATATTGCTTCATTAGAGCTCACTGTATCCACAGCCCGACATGCTCAATGTGTTTCAGTCACTGCACCGATGAACTTGGTATATATCAGAACACAGTAACATTGCTGCAGTTCACCACAGTACATTGCATGCAGTTCATCACAGTGCTGTTTGATGTATACTGGAATGTACCCAATGTTATGCAGCTTTCTATTCTTTGCAAGTCCTTAAAAGTTTTAGAGCATTACTCAATTTTCAAATACATTTTATTTTTAATTAATATTTTATGTTATTATTATTATTATTATTATTATATATGAGTAGTAAAAATCAATAAAGAAATAAAACAAGACATGGCACATATGTAAATGTTTTAACTAATGTTTTGATTTTATAATTGATTTGTATGAAACATTTATATAATACTTTTTGGACTATCCCTTCTATATATTAATTATTTTAGTTCTATTTATAATTCTGTTTACTTCTGGATAATTGAATTAGTTTTAATTAGTTTAATTCTTTTAATTTCTGTGTTAATTAAGCACTAATACACATCATAGTTATGGCAATTTATTTTGATGTTATATTGATATTAAATTGAGATTTTACTTGGGTTTTTCCTTTGCAAAGTGCATAATTTGATCTGTACAGAAATGCTTTAAGAGTTAAATTAATAATACGGGAATGATTGAAAATTAAAGATCTTTTTAAATTATTTTTGTAAAGATTAAAGACCTAAAAATGATTTTTATTCTTTTTACAGAGGACGGAAGATGGCGCACAGTAGTTCGACGGTGCGCTTCCTCGTCTCCTCGAGGCGTGAACTGGGGATGTGACTGGGGTTACAAAGAAAATGGTGTGTACTGGGAAGAATGCTATTGTACGAAAGACGGCTGTAACGGCGCCGAATCAAGAACTGTCTCTCTCGGCGTCGTCTTGACTCTCTTGAGTGCATCCATTTTGGCGGCACTGTTTTCTGTATAGTATTCGGAACGACAAACTCAGATAAGTTAAATTTATACCGAATGTGAATATACAATCATAGTTTTAACAATTGTTTGAGAAGAATTTTATTTTTCAGTAAATTTATTTTTATATATTCAAAAGAAAAGTGAGGCATGTGACCTGTTAAAATGCAAGATCGGGTTTCGATCGAATGCAAAGATGTGATATTAGGATTTTGGTCAGATTTTGTGTGATCCGTTTGAAAATTATTATATATACAGTATATATTGTATGTGCATGTGTTTGTTATAGAATGTAAAGATAGTTCTATATAAGAACTTTCAAGAATTATGCAAGAATTGTTTCATTATTATTATTATTTTTTTTAATTATTATTAAAATATTATATTTAGAATGAAAAATTAAATTTTTCAGAAAAATTATGCATAATATTTTAGTCAGATTGAAAATATTTGTGAAAATCATTTTATTCTTTTGTCAAATCCATGACTTATTTAAAAAATATCATCATATAATTTATATATAATGATAAAAAAATATCTCACATTTCATACATTGTTCATTCATTAATTATATATTATATTATATTATACATAAGCCTGCGTCAGTTTTCTTTTCGAAATTTTGTATTCCATTCCGTTGCAGTTAATTAGAAAATTATATGTTTCAAGTAGCGAAATTTGTTGTTAGTAGATTAAAAGGAAAGTTTTTACAGTTAAATGAAATGTAAACAAAAACATTCCACAATTATTTTTTCATTTTTTTTAAAGTAAATTTTAATAACAGATGTATTTGTATATGGAATCTGAAGGAAATTTATAATAAAATTTTTTGAATTTGATACAAATTGAGTATGAAAGATTTATTTAAAAAAATGCGTCAAGTTCCGGATTAGTTTGAGATTACAGTTGATAATTCGACCTACGACACTTATTCTATTAAACAAGGGAAACGTTCCGCTCAAATATCCAACCGTCTTCGGCTTAGAACTATCTTAGAAACAGGCGAGGAGTGGGACCGGACTTAGAAAACAACAGACTCTTCTCCTGTACTAAATATTGATACAAGTAAAAATTTGAAGTCCTTAGCTACATTGTCATAATTCCAGACCCTAACCTGACACTTGCTTAACTTATGTGCAAATCTGACTCCGGCCAGGAGCTTTGTTTAATGGGAAGACCTCTCCTTTTGGAGGAATTAAAGGCCACATATTGTATCTCAGTTTGTATTGGTATATACTTTCAAATAGAGCCCTTCACTGAAAAAAATAACAAAGAAGGCCTTTTTTTTTAAATGTATGCAAAAAATGAAAGAAAAACAAAATATCCAGAACTTATATTTATACAAAGGGCCTCATGCAACCCGAAGGCCCCTTGATGCAGAACTGAAGTATGGTAGAATTCAGATCTAATTGGTTATAAAATAATTAACCAGTGATTTATTTATAATTTAATAAATGAAATATTATTAATTATTCTATAATATATATATATATATATATATATATATATATATTTATTTAAAATTTAAACTTATAATAATAATAATATAATAAACTTTGCGTTAACCCACAATGGAAAAAAATAAATAAACCATACAGAATCGGTGACGTCAGGAAATCCAATATCGCTCGTGACGTCATCAATCGAAGGCACATCCGGGAATTTCGGGACGATCGAAGACACTTGGTGCAATCCGATTGCGCATGGCCGAGAAGCATTTCGACCCAAAGCTACAGAGCATGCCCACTGCCATAGGGTTTCTGCAGTGGTGCCAGTTTCGAGGCTTCAAGAAAGGGGAGAGAGATTTTTAAAAGGTTCTTTAAAAGAGAAAAGGAAGAGAGAAGACCTAACTCACATCACTGCCTAATTTCGTTGTATTTTTTCTTCTCTTTTTTTGGTGTTTTCAGTGTCCGATTTAGGGACTGGCCGTATCGGCTGGGATCATTTTTAAAATTCTACAATGTCCTCCTCGAACCATTTTTTGGCCTTCTGTGGTATAATCGTCCTAGCATTCGTCATTAAGGGAGGTAAGAGAATTCCTTCTATTATTTATTTTTATACAAAAATATATTTTTTTCTTTTTACAATTTCAAAAACGTTTTGAATTGATTTTTCTCTTTAAAAATCCTCCCCAGAAATTAATTTATCCGCCATTTTCTTTTTTTTTTTACTGTATTTAATTGTTTTTATGTTACACACAACACTGTATCGATTGTGTAGTGTTTTCTCTCGTGTTTTGGGTTCTAGAATTTGTGTAGAGCGGAATTATAGAAAATAAGTTTCTCGCTATAAGAAGGGGGAGGGGGGTCGAATTGGGAACTCCCGTTTGGCCTACTTTCATTCTGACGTCATGCCTCTAGCGGAAGACGAACGCATGAGAACCATTTTTACAATTGATCGAAGCGTTTTGGTTACGGTTCCTCATTATTTCTCGAACGCCATTCGTTAATTGTCGCCGTTTTTCTGCCCCCCCCCCGAATGGCCTCCCCGCTGTAGCCAAGACACTACGTTATTAAACGAACGAAGCAACAATTAAAACTGTGGCGGGGGGAGAGCAATTTTTAAAAGAAAAAAGTTGGATGAGAATTAATTAATTAACATTTTAATTTTAATTAAGTTATGCAAGTTTGATTTAAGGAATGTAATTAGTTTACGTCGTAAACGTTTTCTTAGTAACGCTATAACCGGGCTTTACTGTTGTATAGGAAAATTATTAGTTTATTTATAGACAGTATCGATCAATAATTTTTAAGTTCTAATTTCTGCTTAGAGGGGGTGGGATCGAAGTCGAATTATCCTTTCCATCCATTATTTACCTTTAGAATTAACCACTTTTTTCGCCTATCCACGCCTTGGTTTGGTTTATATTCTGTTCAATTGTTCGAAATAAGCTTTATTAAACCTTATTTTCCCTATAAATATCCACTGTAAATGTAATTGTCAATGTTTCCTGGGGGAAACTATGATTAAAAGTCAAACAGAAAGCATTAAAATGACCTTTACTTTCTTAATTTACATTATTATATTAGTTTTATTCCTAAATGCACTCTTAATACGTGTGTATCTGTATATAGGAATGTAGCAGAGGGCATGTCTGTGTGTTTATACAAATTCAAATACCTTCTATATTCTATGAATATAGTAGAGTGTATGTCTCTCTAAATTTAGTGGAAGGTATGTGAATTTGTATAGACAGACATACCCTCTACTACATTCATATATAAAGACAGAGTTTTATAGCTATGTGCACTTTTAATAAGTGTGTATCTGTGTATATGAATGTAGTAGAGGGTATGTTTTTTCTAAACAAATTCACATACCTTCCACTATATGTATACAGACATACTATCTACTATATTCATGTCTGTATGGATATAGTAGAGGGGTAAATTTACATATAATTAAAAAAACTATATGTGAGTTTTAATAGAATACAGACATGAGTATAGTAGAGGGTATGTCTGTATGTCTATACAAATTCACATATAGTTTATTAACTATATGTAAAATTTATCCCTCTGCTATATTTATACAGACATATCTACTACTGTATGCTTACAGAGACACAATCTACTATATTCACGTCTGTATGTCTATACAAATTCACGTCAAACTATAGTAATATGTTAATTTACTCTACTATATTCATACAGACATGAATAAGTAGAAGGTATGTCTGTATTCATATAGTAGAGGAGTAAATTTGTATAGACATACAGACACACACGCATTAAGAGGCTTCATATACAAAGATAGCGGTTACAGTCTTATAATTTCTTTTTTAATTTAATAAGAAATATAATTTATTACAACGTTAAAACGGGGTTATTTTACATTACAGATAATGTTCTCCCTTAGCAGAATAAATGAGGATGTTAGCAGAGATTAATTCCTAGTAAATATAATGTAAAAAAACCTTTTAAGTATCATATTCTGTCAAGGACTTATATTACACTTTATAATTCTTTTAATTATTTTAAAAATAATTTGCATAAAAGAGTATAAATTTTGTAATTCCATTCATTTATTAAACAGGGTGGCCCAAAAGTCGGTTAACCTACAATTGCAGACTGTGTTGATTTATGGCATTTGAAAGGGAGATTTATCTTGTATTTTTTTTCTAGACTTAAAGAATGTCTGGCCTAGTTTAAATTATTGAATTTTTTAAAAATTTTATTTTTAGTGTGTAGTTAAAAAAAACAGAAGTCTGGTACTCCCCCCTCTGTATGCGTAAAAATGTTAATTTATTGCCGTTTATTCTCGATGGTGCCTACAATTTGCATTTTAAATGCTAATTAAATCACTCTTGGGGTGGCCCAGAAGTCGGTCAACCCGAAAGAAACGCTTTAAAACTCGGTTAACGGACTTTCGGCCCACCCGCTTGTTATAACAGGAAGCGAATTTTAAATTGTAAGCGATTAAATTTTCTCGCTGGCCATTGGCTAATTAATTAACGAAAAGGAGGGCCCTCGATATAGAACCGATAACGCGAATTATCTAAATAAACGCATCCGTTTTATACGAGATTTAACCGGGGGGGGGAGTGCGGTGAAGCCAGTGTTTCCGCTCTACAACGGCATCCCGTATGTAACGTCGCGCGACAAATTACAACGTTTAAAAAAATCGCTCGCCGAGATTTTTAATAACTCGATAAAGAGGAATTTCATAATTAAAACCGGAATAAAATTCACCAAAAATTCCTCCCCTCCCCATCTCTGCGAGGTTCGATCGATAACCGCGTGTCTTTTACGTAATATTTTGAATACGTTATAAGCTTGGAAGCGTTCAATTATTGTCGCGAAAGTGTCGCAATTTATTGTCGAATGTGTCAAATTGCTGGTGTTCGTAGATACAAATTATTAAACGAGTCACTTCCTCTGTTTCGGGGAAACCAGGGGGACAGGAAACATAACTCCTCTCTTATTAAATGTTAAATTTAACCCCCGGTACTCTAATGGAGCCTAATTCGGTGGTAAGTTTTAACGCCTGCTTCTTTATGAATTCGAAATAAACGCTTAAAAATGAATAGCGAATACGAATATTACCGTATATAGCGAATACCACCCTCTTAAAGCGTCATCCTCGCCGAATTATCGTGACTTTCAAATCCCCAAACTCCTCTTTCCTACGTATAATTCTCATACTTCCGTTTAGCGCCACTAAACGAATAGGAATATTGCTGCCAACTCTCGATATAACGTATGCCTTCCTCGTAAAGCGCCATCCTTCCCTATTAATTAACATTAAATAGGCCCCTTCGGTACGCCACACTCGATTTAGTGCCGATTTCAGAAGCGAAACGAGCGGTTGCGTTAAATCGAAGTTTACTGTAGCCCTTCGCGCGTAGAGAGGCAAAGCAAACGAGCGATATAACGAGGTGATGTTGTGGAATACATCACGTTATTACGAATCTAGGGAGCACTCCCTGTTTTTAAAACTATATTCGGGAGGGGGATAGGTGATAATTAAAAGTAAACCCCGGATTAACACTCACCCGATTTTACGTTCGGATTAAAAGTGCCTTAAATACGAATTAATACGGTAATTAGAATAGTAAACGTCGTCGACGGATGATTTTAACGTGTAGTGCGTGTGTTTGTCTGAATGTATTTGGACAACTTGTTGATCGGAGGATCGTTTCTAGACGAAATTAATAACCTTACTAGGTAGCATCACGCCGTAGTTTCTCATGCGTGCGTTAAAGCGAGGGGAAGAAGACTGTTTCGTGTCCTCGTAAACACGTCTGCTATATCATATAATTAATTTTCTCACGCTTTTATATGGCGACGATACCCTTAAAACGGGAGTTTACCTATTCAAAAATCTCTCGAGCAGTTCGTTCCCGCATATAATGCTCTTCTATGGTTTCGGTTTATCCATGCGTGTCTGAATTTTTTAATACAGTTTTTTGGAAATTGGAGCTTCCCGCTAGGCATTTTACGGTATTCTTACGTATTTAATTCGTGTATTTTCGTCCGTTCGTCCGTTTGTCTGATCGCTCTTTCGTGATGAAACTCTTTAAAATCTTATTTTTAATGCTAAATAGTAATTTAGAGAGATCAATTAATCTACAATTCTATTTTTAGTATCGAAATTTTATTATGTTTTATGTTAAATGGCCTGTTCGTTTGTCTGTCTGTGTGTGCAATTAGGCGCATCTGTGCTGACGGACACTGACGACTTCATAAAAAATTGCCGCAGTAGAAGGTTCGTCTATATTATAAAAGCATGTATTATAATACAGTTGAACCTCCGAAAGTGGCCATTTTTTATGCTGCCGTCCGTATCGGTGACCGTTGTTCAGAGGTTTAACTGTATATATGTTTAATTGAAGCAAAACTCTTTATACAGTGTATACAGTGAAACCTTTGTAAACCGGACTCGTACGGCACCGAATATTTTTTCCGTTTCGAACAGGTTTTTTTTTAACACAGAAAATCGCTACGTTTAGGCCGATTTCCGTTTCATTAAAGTTCCGTTCCGGACAGGTTTTACGGTATATACAGGTGCCCTAAAGTCAGTTAACCGTTGTCAAATGTTTCTTGTTCTAAACTCAGTTTACTATTCAAATTTACAACTGTAATTGAAACGAGCACAACTCAGTCAACCGACTTTTGGACCACCCCACGAGTTTTACGTATTATAATTGATGAAAATTAAAAAAAAAAAATTTTTTTTCGTATAAATTATAAAATAATTTTAAAAAATTCGAGTATTTCTTCACATCGTCGATTAAATTTTAATAAAAATCGAATTATATCAAAATTAAAGCGGAAAAATCGCTATGTGTGGCATAGACTGACAGACAGGCCGACAAAGAACTCCATTATTGAGAAAAACAATGGTCGGTAATTAGATTTAATGGCATTAATATATTTAAGTGCTTTTCTCTGTAAGGCCTGACTTTATTAAATTTTTTTTTTATTTTAGTACAGAAAAAATTCAGGTTCGTTCGGAAATAGTGACACGACGTCAAATTAGAGATGATCTGCAAAAACGTTTGATAAATGGAGGGAGATTTTCGATC